CCCAAGGTGTCCTTTCAGTATGGATATGGAATTTTACACATCATGAGGCTGTGTTAATATTGTGAAAGGCATGATAGTTTTATCTATAAAGCGCATTTCAAACACGGAATCAATTTAAATTGCTTTACATGGACAAGGAATTGAAAAGAAAACCTATAGACATTCTAAAAAAACAATTAGGAATAAAAACCATAACAACAATGTGACATTTACAAAAAAAAACTTGAAAATCGAAATAATCCAATGCCATTTCTGCCTTTCAGATACCAACATACTTTGGTGGTACTGGGACTTGTGACCTTCTGGTTCCCAGCCACACGATACAAAATCAGTTACGATAGAATGAAATGACTTGTTAATAATAAGATAAAACAAGTAAAATACAGCCCCAATGCAGGTTATGTGCTGAATGTCCTACAAAGAAAATTAAAGAAGTGTAAGGTTGTTCCACATCTGCAGCAAATAGCTAAAAGCAGCTTAAACTTGTTGGTCCTTCCTCGAGGAACTCAAAGCTTACAGAATTTAAAGGGTCTAACGACCGGTTTACATTCCCCAAGATACATGAGTAATTCATAAACTAGCAGCAGTACTTTAAAAGAAACTAAAGGCCATTGTAAAGTTTTTAAAAGAGGATTCCTCTGCTAAATTATTTCTGTTCTTGTTAGAATTCTGGCAGCAGCATTTTGAATGAGCTGAAGTTTTTAGATAGTCTTAACACTCAGTTTATATATAGATGAGTTCCAGTGTGGTATGATACTAAAAATGATGTTTCTCTTGCAGTGAGTTACTTGGCACACATGAGAGGTGGCCATGGCTGCTTGGTTTTAATGGTTTCACAGCGTTAGTCCAGCTTTCCACCCTGCCTTTTCTGCCAGAGTCTCCCAGCTTCCTGCTGCTGGATAGAGGAGACCGCCAGGCCTGTGAGAAAGGTGTGACAGACCTCTTAATACCTCAGAGGAACTGTAGACAGATGAATCCTTGTTATCATGGCCTTAATCAGCTGATTACTTGCATTGCCATAGCTCTAAGGAGGCTATGGGGTAACCAGGACCACAGCATGAAGGTGGAGGAGATGTTGCAGGAGAAAGCGGCCTGCAGACTGTTCGTAACCACTCAGTGCTGGAGCTGATTCGAGACAAAACACTTCGCTGGCAGCTCATCACCATCTTTGTTACTTTCACTACACTGCAGCTCTGTGGCATCAATGCTGTGAGTGATACATTAAACACCCTTTAGCACAAGTAAAATGTTAACTGTACTTTAGGATAGAGTGCATTCATTAGGATAGAACTTCATTTTGAAACTATGTTGGGCGTAGGGTAAATGATTAGCATTAGGCCTGTATATGCCCCCAACATGATGAAGATTACATGTGTTGTTTAAGTGCTAACCAGGTTTAAGGTTGTTGGGTTAATATATTAGAAGTGTTAACAGGCAGAGTTGAAGTTCAAAGGTTCAGTGAAGACACAAACAGGACTGATTGTTGTGACCATGTTGTGTTCAGCTAACATGCTCCTGGGTTTAGCCAAGAGCAAGTTATGCTTATGTGCTTATAGTATAGCTGCTCTGAGCAATCTGCTTACAAACATTTCTAATTGTCAGAAATTATAAAAGACTATTGTAAAAATGACAATGACTGACCCCATAGAGTATTAGCCTCTAGTGAGGACCGCCTCTTGAAAAATTCTGTTTATTCTTTGAACATACAGATAGATAAAAAAATGTGTCATACTTTTTCTCATTAAGTCGGTAGCGTTTCAGACTTACAGCAGCTTCCATTATTGTCACTCATCAGTCATCAGTGCTCAATTCCGATTGGCTAGAAAGGTGTGTGTTATTTATTTATTTATTTATTTCAAAGACTGGCTTAGAAAAGGAATACAAACATTTCAATATGCAGTGATAAATAACATCTAAACTGTAAATATGTTAACATTTTATAGTCACAAATCATTTTAATAGTTGATTTTTATTTTTGTTCCATTTCCCTTCAAGTTCCCACAACCCCTATAGCCCCCTTAAGATGCTCTTAGAAAAACTTCTGTGCTCTTTAAAGTCTTCAAACATACAACAAAGCTAAATCCAGTGGCTTTGGCATTTATTCTCCATTTTCCCAAAAGCCCATTTTTCACAAAACAAAACAGACTGTAAAATGAAATAATATTGAACTAAAGAAAAAAAGAAGTAAAAACAGAATGTTAAGACTAATCTATCATCCACTCCTTTCTGCACAAGAATACACTTCAACCTACCAAGCATGCATGTAGCGCAAAACAGATATTGCTTATGTATCTGATAATTAAAAAATATATTTTTGATGCAATTTGGTTCTTGTCTTTACTTCTCTCCAGGTGTACTTTTATTCTTTTGAAGTGTTTCGTGCTGCAGGAATCCAACCACAGCATTTACGTTACGCAGCCTTGGGAACTGGGCTTTGTGAGCTATGTACGTCTATTGCCTGTGTAAGTCACAAACACTCATTTTATATCTTTCTTATGGCCCATACATAATTTCATCCTGACATAGGCTACTGTTTGCTTCTTTTCTTTTCTTCTTCTTATAGGTTTTGGGCCTTTTGATTTATTTAAGCTTTTCTTCTGCTGTCCCAGCTGGCCTCAAAATGCTCCTCAATCAATGCACACTGCTTTAATGTTAATTCTGTAAAAACGATCTACCGCTTGAAAATTAACCCATGTGTCACAATACTACATCACTTATTAGCATGTTCATTTCAGCACCCTCTGCACTATCTCGATTGCACTATTTTCTTGTTAAGCATACCTGGCCAATAAAGCCGATTGTGATCTGTGAAACCTCTGTGTATAGTTATGGCTCCCCCTTGTGGTTCACTGCTGGAAATGTGCTTCGATGTTACAGTTTATGGTAATAGAGAATATGGGCAAAAAGGTCCTTCTGTCAAGAGGATATATGGGAATGGCTGCAACGCTGATCCTCCTCACAATCACTCTGTACCTGCAAGTGAGTCAAAACAAAAAGAACACATATTTGGATTCTTAGAGTTGCATTTCACAAACTCATAAACTCTAGATATCCTACAGAGTCTTCTTCTTTTCTCTACAGACTCATATTTCCTGGATGCCATACTTCAGCATGGTTCTCATTTTCATCTTCATTTTCTTTTTCGCCAGTGGACCAGGTATGCATATGTCAAGATCTTTGCTATTTTGAACTATTTCATTTGAAGTATTTCCTCTTTAATCAACAACAAGTACATGTGCACACACAGTTTTTTTTGTTGACCCTCAGCTGGAGTATCAGCTACTCTTCCAGGGGAAATATTAACTCAGTCATATAAGTCTGCTGGATACACCATCGCCTGCACTCTTAACTGGTCAGGCCTGTTTGTGCTTGGAATGCTTTTCCCTATCTTAGTGGTAAGAACTTTACTGTCATTGCAATGTTAGGTATTTTTCTAACCATACATAGTAGACATTATTAATGTGAAATGAAATTAAATACATCACTTACACATATTTACAAATGTCCTACAATATGCTTCCATTTCAGGAGAAACTGGAATACTTTTGTTTCCTCATATTCCTTTTTTTTTGCGCCATCTGTGGGCTGTTTGTGAGGTTCAATGTCCCTGAGACCAAGAACCTGACTGTGCTGGAGATAGCTGCAGAGTTTCAGAGGATGCACTGCAAATCTGAAAACTCACAGAGGAGTAAATTCACTGAACAGAACCTCAATGGAACCTCAATCAACAACACCAAACTCTGAGGTCATGAAGAAAATAGTCAACTTGAAAGTATTACTTTTTTTAATCACACTGTAAATATTCAAATTGTTTATTGTACCTCAAGGAGAAGTGCAATTCATTTTGATTTGTGTACAATTCAGTAAGTCATGAATAAAAGTGAATGTATTGTTTTTAAGGTTAGTGCTTTTATTTTTATTTTTTTTAAATGAAACAATCTCAAGGCTTCCATCAAGACATACAACTTTGTTTATTTTGTGTTTGTGTTTTTCTTGTAGCTTCAAACAATGGTTTGGCCCGGGAGGTTATCAGTTAGGCATGCATGCTCTGCCAAAAGAGATAGACCTCAGGACATCCAGTGTCCACTTGCATAAATGTCATGCTGCAAGTAGGACAAATGGCCTGAAGTGTGTGCATGTGTGCGTATGGGTGGGTGGTGAGGGTGTGACATTTGCATATTGTGTTTATCACAGATGTGTTCTTGTGTTCTGAGTAGGACACATTTTAGAAACACAATTTAACCTCAAACATTGTCAAACAATAATTTGACAGTTTCCTTAGAAAGCGATATTTTACTCAGCTTCAGTGTCATATTTGAAAGATGTTAATTTAGCCTAATTTCATCTTTCAGATGTTTGATTTAAAAAAAGCTTTGGAAAAGAGTTCAACTTAGTTAAGAGTATTTTCATCTTGACCACTTGTAACAATTAAATTAATACTGATGCATTAGTTATTTCACAATCACTTTAAGCCATCATTTAACACTAACAGGAGTCTTTGTTTCTGACAAAGCAGTCTAATACATTGTATTGAAGTGTGGTTGAATATACAGTATGCATGTACATATGAAGCTATGCATTTTACATGTAACTTCTTCAGCATTCTCTTAAAGGTAAAAAGTAAAAGGTGAATATGATAAATATATAGACCTGGTAGCTGATGGTAAGTGGTAAATGGACTTGAGCTTATAGAGCTTTTCTAGTCTCTGATGTATTTATCTATGTTTTTAAATTCTTTGTTACGCCACATGTTGCTGGCAATACTTCCCTGGCACATTCACGATTCAAGCATTCAAAATAACTTGATGATGATCAAAGTTAATCTTTTCGGGTCACAGCGGGACTTCTGTGTCATGAGGGAACTCCTTTCAATTACGCAGGCGTGCAGCCCGTGTGTTCCTCTGATAACACTATCTACACTCTCAACGCTACACGACGTCTCACAGGAGGAATTCATGACAGAAAAAAACGTCACCAAAAAGCAAAAATACGCAGGGAGGAGTTGAACCCTGCGTAAATAAGACAAACAGGTTCACGCCTGCAAAGTGTGTGTGCATTTGGGCATTTAAATTCCTCCCACGGCGCAAAGTGCCATGTGCATGTAAACTCTCAGAAGTTGGACAGCAGCAAGTTTTGCGTGGATAATGGACATAACGGACCCGGATGCCAGCATCTCCTCTGCGGAGCCAAAGCCGCACAGAGGATTACATCAAAAGTGAGTCCATTTATGGTCATTACTTATAACACTCAAAAATATATTTTGAAATAGGTCTTATAAAGCAATAATGATTCCTTTCATTCCTGTTACATGGTCAAATTTCAGAATAAGTCAAGAGATTTATATTTTTAAAGAAAAAAGTAGTTTACATTCTATCATTAACGTATTTCAATGTTTATAACCTCAGATCAGGTGACTTTTTAATTATCTTTATGTATATTTTTTTACATTTTCTTACAGTTTTTTCGTGTAAGAATCAGGCAACACTAAAAAAAATTGTACTGGTTTCCTAAAAGATTCAATCGCTTTCCTCACACCTGCTTATACCTTACCTGATTCTTCTTTCTCTGTCACTAAATATTTAAATCAGCAGACACTGAATCCAGCATCTGCCCACTTCAGAAACATCACTTCCTGACAGCTTTTATTCGCAGGGCTGATCTCAAAGATCCACATTGCTCAGCAGTAGCACACTTATAAACTAAAGAGTTTCCAGGTAAATTATTTAAAGCGGCCCTGTTAGTATGAACTCTGAGGGGGGTTGAGACTGGAGGGGCTGCAGATAGGCTTCTCTGCCTCTGTCAGGGTGTCACTGATAAACACGAGCGTCTGGTAGCAAATGACACAGGACACCATGTAGACTTACACCAGTGAGCAGCTACAAACACATCACAGCTCCTCTGTTTTCATTTTATTCTGTTTGCTCTGGGCATTTAAAAGAGTGGTGGGCATTTTAAACAGTGGTGGGTATTTTAAACAGTGGTGGTGATAGTTGAGGGTGATGATAACATCTCTACCCTCCACCCTGCTCCACCCCCACTATGGCTTAAGGAGGGAGTAGGAACTAAACAAAGTAACCAATGTTGACATAGATGTTTCTGTGATGAAAAAGAGCAACCTTAAAGGGTAATTAATATCATGACAGAAAAAAGCCGCAAATCTTGACTTTAAAGAGAAAAGGTCTCTTCACCTCAGATGGCCTTCATGAACATTAATGCAAACAAGCTGACAAGTAAATACCTGATCAGTTGTGGAATAGTCTGAATGTATGTAACATTCAAGTTCTCATCCTTAACCTTGTTCATTTATCACTCATCAATTTTGATTCATAATGCTCCAATTCACAACAAACACTTATTTTAATGACACTTTACATAAAGGGCAGGTATAGACCTTTGGGCTATACTAGTTTTAAATTTCATGAACAGAGACCAAATATGAATCCAACAGTGGCAAAAAAAAAACCCATTCTTTAAGAGGCAGAATTCTTGAACAGAACCAGACTCCTGGCGGAGAGCTGTCTGCCTACTGGCTGGGGAAAGTGTAGTGTCTTTTCCTGTAGACATGTGCCCTGCAGACGTGCGTGGAACATGAATACGTACAGATGGAGTGAGAGAGGTACTGCAGTCTAAGCCTATAGCATCATAGGGTTGGTCCTAAACCTGTGTCAGTCCTAACTTACTGACTGTGTTTTATCGAGAAAAAAAAGTTTTAATGAAGTCTACCCTTAAAAGTTATTTAACCGGTGATTTAACCAGGAAAAATGTATTGGGATTTAAAATCTGAATTGACAAGAGTGCCCTGGCCAAGACAGACAGCGGTGCTTTAACAAAAGTAGAGTGAGCTCTACCTCACAGACTATTAGGAGACTTAACGTACCACAAGCAGGCAAATCCTCTAGATTGCTAATATGGATCTATGAGCTCTGTAAGATGTGATGGTGCCTTACCAAATAGAGCTTCATAGAGATTTGACATTTTTTAAATCTAGATTTAAAGGAAGCCACTGACTGGTCATGTGACTGCAGATGACCGTTCTGTTTGTTCTGTTTGATTTCAGGGTGTTTGTCAACAGGAATCTGACACTGGAAAACATCAGATGCTATGGATTTGACATGGACTACACCATGGCAAGTAAGTCAAGCCAGATCTTTGTTTGGAAATAAAAAGTAGTGTCATCTTGAAGAGCTAATGAACTTGAAATCTTTCTCTCTGACGTCTACTGGTTAGAAAAGACACACTGGTTTTAAATGGTTCTACTGTGTTTGTGTTTGTAGTTTACACATCCCCAGACTATGAGAGCATGGGCTTTGAGATGATCAGAGACAAAATGGTGTCTATTGGGTATCCTCATGAGATTCTACGCTACACGTACGATCCTAGCTTCCCCACACGGTAGGGTTAATATCTGCTCCTTTCACTGAAAAACCATGACTTTTACCACAGCTGTCTATTTGTTTCTAAATTTGAGCATAAATCCCTTAAAACAGTTAACTGTTTTGAGTTACATGCTTTATATCTGCTTTTCCTCTTAGCTCATGTCAGGTCTTGGAAACCATGATCACACCTCCCGTTTCTTTTTTCTCTTCATCCTCAGCGGTTTGGTGATTGACACCAAATATGGGAACCTCTTGAAGGTGGATTCAAACGGGAATATTTTAATCTGCAGTCACGGCTTCCGCTTCCTCAAAGGGTAAAGTTGGCAATGCTCTGATGAAATGTTTTTTTGTTTTTTACATTTGCCATCTTAGCATGAGGAGCTCCAGAGACAAATGCAGGCACATAAATGAACAAAAAAAGCATCACTGAAAAATTCAATCAATTCTTTAAAATTTAAAGTAAATAAAAGAGTTATCAAAGGTGACTAAAAGTTAGCTTGAATAAGGCTGTCACACTTATCGACAGGTTTCCTTTTCAGCATCTTGTCCGTAACATCGACTCTGTCTGAGGTCAGTTCATCACAAATGTTACTCTAAATGGCAATGAATATGTGTCCTCATTTTATAGTAGGTAATATAATTTAATGTTTAAATAACAATGAGATACATCTTATGTACAGAATTAAATCATTAAACCAGCTCTATGTTTTTGTTAGTTCTGATATTACCTCTGGTTATTAAAGACAATAGGAAACAAACAGCTGATAATGACTGCAGCATCAATGTGGCTTTACTTGTTTTAACTGTGACTACAAAGCAGCAGATAAACACTAATATGTCTCATTAGCTTTGTTCCTAATAGATAATAAAAAGAGTTTCAATTGCCCCAGAATGTAAATTGGTGCACATAGTTTTCTATTGTTTAAGTCAGTTTTTAGTGCTTACCAGAGGGCGGCTGCGGCTCAGTTGGTAGAGTTGTCGTCTCTCAACCAGAAGGTCGAGGGTTTGATCCCCCAGCTCCTGCAGCAACATGTCCGCTGTGCCCTTAGGCAAGACACTTAACCCTGAATTACTCCTGCTGCTTCGTCAGCGGCGTATGAATGCATCTGAATTAGTTACTTCTGATGGTCTCACTACATCACACTGCCATCAGCGTGTGAATGGGTAGGTGTAAAAGCGCTTTGAGTAGTTTGAAGACTAGAAAAGCACTGTATAAGCTCAAGTCCATCTACCAGAGTATGTTTGTTTCCACAGAGAAAACATCGCTTACTACTACCCCAACAAGTTCATTCAAAGAGATGACACCGACCGTTTCTACATTCTCAACACTCTCTTCAATCTGTCAGGTATTACATTCACCTGTTTTGAATATCAGTGTGGGGTTTGTTAAATTAAGATATTATGTGGTGAAGAATAGAAATATAACTTTGTCCGAATTTAAAACTCATTTTGAATAAAAGTTCATAAATGTTGATTCAACATCAACAAGTGACCTGTTTCTGCTAACTGAACTGTTTGCATGCACCGTGCAGAGACATATCTCTACACCTGCCTTGTGGACTTTTTCACCAGATGCACCAGATACACAAAGTGAGTGGAAATGATTCCCCCCTATGGTTTTTAAAAAGCTCCTCTTTTGCATAATATTTATCCCTCTACCATATTCTTTTAATCTTGTTTAATTTCTTCCAGCCAGGAGAAGGGTTACCAGCATGGAGACTTGTTTATGTCCTTCAGAAGTATGTTTCAGGATGTTAGAGATGCAATGGACTTTATTCACAATACGGTAAATTCATAAATCTCTGTTTAAAATGTAAAGAAATGTTAGCGATGGAAACCATTACATGTCCCTATTGGACTGTATAGTAACTGTTAAACTGTGTGTCGTTTGTTTGTCTGTTCGTTGTGCAGGGAGCTCTGAAGGATAGAACCATCAAGAATTTGGAGAAATATGTTGTCAAAGATGTAAGACACGATCAAGCACCAAATTGCTATGAGTTTTATGACAAAAAATGTTTGAAATATTAAGGAAGAAAATGTGTTCTTTGCAGCCAAATCTCTCTGTACTTCTGACCCGGATTAAAAAAGTGGCAAAGGTCTTTCTTGCCACCAACAGTGATTACAACTACACAGAGGTGATTTTCTAAATATTCAAGCTAACACTTGGAACAACTATTTACATAAAAACAAAGCCTGAACCTTCAAAATGAAATCAAAGTGCACATTTTTCCAATAACTATTTCTTCCATCTTTAAGGCCATTATGAAATACCTGCTTGAAACTAATGTAAAGGTAAGAGCACTCTTACAGTTGTAGGAATATTCTTTTAATGCTCACTCAATTGAATTTAATAAACCATTGTTCTTCACTTAGTCTGGAAGTCCTAAAAGGTTGTGGCATTCCTACTTTGACCTCGTTGTCGTGGACACCAGGAAGCCGTTGTTCTTTGCAGAGGGGACTGTGCTGAGACAAGTGGACACGGTAGGAAAAAGTCCATGACACTTGAAGATGGACATGTTGATGTTGGTGGCAGGTTTCAGTGATATATGTTGGTGTTACAGAACACAGGGAAGCTTCGGATCGGGACGTACACAGGTGACCTCCAACATGGGACTGTTTACTCTGGAGGTGAGATTCATATTGGTTCGCATTTGTTCTTTATTGTGTCATTTAAAAAAAAAAAAACTGTAATAGAGGCTGAAACAGTGACAAACACAGGATGGCTTCTTCCACGTTATTTGAGACGTTTTGAATAAATCTTTGTTCGCAGGATCTTCGGACATCGTTTGTGATCTGCTACATGTCAAAGGTAAAGACATCCTTTACGTTGGAGACCACATCTTTGGTGATATCCTCAAATCTAAGAAGCGTCAGGGCTGGAAAACCTTCCTGGTCGTACCAGAGCTCGCTAAGGAGCTTCAGGTGTGGGAGGAAAGAAAAAGTAAGAACAAATATTCAACATCGGGTGTTTGAATTTTTAAGATCATTTTCAGTAGTTTCCTACCTTGATGACTTTCTTGTTTTTTTTCCAGATCTGTTTGAGGAACTGAAACTTCTTGACACCTTCTTAGCTGAGACTTATAAGTGAGTCTGTGCCCATCTCTAATCATTAAACCAGTCATGTTCAGAAACAGTGGACATGTCCCAGCAAAGCTCTAATGTTTTCTGATGTTTTGCGATCCTTTATTTAGCTTTGACAAATCATCTCTACCATACCTTTACTGAAACATTTTATTTCCCTTCTATAAGAATAATTATGACGTTACAAGAAGGGATTAAGCGTTCTTGTTTTATGTGTTTGGAAACTGAAGGCATCTGGACAGTGGCAGCAAAGAGTGTCCTGACATCAGCGCCATCCAGACGAGAATTAAAGTGAGTTCAGCACATTTTAACTCCACATGTATCACATCACTACAGAAAATACTTTTCTTTCTTTCTTCTTGTTGCGCGGATAATTTGACTTTTCTGTCCACAAAAAATGAGTGCAAAACAACTAAACTTATAATGATTAATTAGATCATCTACAACACACAAACTCAGGGGAAATGCATTACTTTTAAGCCATCTCTTGACAAAATCAAAGTAGTACATTCACAAGGGGAGGGGGGGGGATATCATACATCAATTCAGCTAACATCATGTATAGAGGTATATAATATATTATAACCACATAGCAGTCAAGACAAAGTTAATGGACTATTCAGTGAGTGCTGATCAAATGTATAACAGCCCTGTCATTTTGTACATAATGAATCTCTCTGCCTTGGGTGAACTAAAAACAAAATCACAACTTTTCATTATTCAAAGACTGATGCTGGCAACAATCGAGTTCCAGTAAAATTGGACAACTAGTTGTTATGCAGAGCCAGAGGACAGATTTAAAAGCAGAATAATCAGTGGTTGCTTATTCATTTCTGCTATGAAATGTTGCTTTTAGAACTGTTAAATAAAAGCTATATCATGATTGATATGGTGCTGTCGTACCAAATATCCCCACACTGTGATTTTCTTTTGCCTATAGACAAATCAAAGCCATGCTGACATTTAGTGTATCAGCACCCCCTCCTGTGTGTTACTCCCTAATAATCACGAGTTCAAGCTAAAGACAGTGCGTAGGCTTCTTAAGTTTTCTTATAAAGACCAGATTAATTCTAGACAAATATTGCTTTATGCAACAGAAACTGAAAACAGAATGTTTACTATGACCCAAAGCAGTTATGATTGAGCTTGTTCTTATTTCGTTATGAGCTGTTTGGGCTCTTTTGCTGATGTGGTTGGTGTTGGTGTTTGCAGGTGTTGACCCACAGGATGGACATGGCCTACGGACAGATGGGCAGCCTCCTCCGCAGCGGAGCCAGACAGACACTGTTTGCCAGCCAGCTTGTGCGTTACGCCGACCTATACTCATCTACCTGCATCAACCTGCTGAAATACCCCTTAAATTATCTCTTCATGGCCCCCCCAGTGCTGGTCCGTTCACTTCCTGCCTCTATGACGCACTTGAAAATGTCATTGTTTTATCATAGCAGCTATTTTCATCTCTTTCCCTCTCCCTCTCAAACTCTTTCAGATGCCACATGAATCTGTGTCTCAACCAGCAGCTGGATTAGTTTCATCAGAGCTTTCTGAGATTGTCAAGATTACCACAAGCTGAGGTGATTACAGGTGTAATGCATTATTCAAATTTGATTTGAAATTTACTGAATTCTTTAAATATTTTCTTCTAAACTTGTCCTTCTCCTGCAGCTGGCTGAGATGTCTTAAAAGAAGAAGTTATGATGCTTTGCACTTTTGCCTCTGTGCTTGTAGGTGCGCAGCCATAATGTGCGTCTTTTACTAAAAACTAATTTATTGATCCCTCTAGTGGAGTTGAACTGCTATGCAGTGTAATGTTTACTTACTGAACATAGATTGATCATACAGACATTTAAAGGATTTAAAGTATAAACAGACCCGGGGTTAATGTATATATGAAGAGAAAGTGGTCTTTATCTGTTGATACATTTAGCGGTAAATATGCATGTTTGATGTCAGGTTTTTAAATGTAAAGCTTTTTAAAAATTTTGTTTGTGGTTTGTGCTACTTCTGTTGTATCATTTCAATAAAGAGTTTATATTATTTGATTTTTTTGTATTTTTATTTGTGGAGGAAAATATATTACTCTAAATATGTCTGTTAGAGGACATTAGCTGATGTAAAAGCTCATGCTAACATTATTTGCTAATGTCTTTGTAGTTTTTGTGATATCATACATGTATAGACTCTTTTTTATTTACTATTAAGATATCTTACAGTGAAGTTTGGTGATGATTCAGACTAACCTGCAGTTTGTAGCACACTCGTAGCACAGTATTCCATTTCTATGTATTATTATAAACCAAACCATCCCTTCAGGTTTCTCCGCTTGTACTACAACGTTTGTCCACTGGGTGGCAGTAAATCTCCTCTGCAAGAGAGATTGCTCAGTGTGTTTTGAAAAAAAAGCTGAATGAAATCAGACTTTAATTCAGACTTTTATTATTATTATTGCTTTGTCTGAAAAAAAAAACAACAACAATGATCTATTCCTGTTCTTTGCATCTTAAGTAACTGTTTACTTTGAACACCGTCAAAAGTGTTTAAAGATATAAAAACAACTGCTGATCTATTGGCTGAAAGGATTGATCAATCAATATTTGTGTAAATCTCTGAAGAGAAACATATCAATGTTAACATCAAGAGTATCACCATTCATAAAGAAAATGATGATAGGCAAAATGATATTTGTACAGGCATTACACACAAATGCACTAACAAAGAGACATGTCTCCTCCTCTACATTTCATCTCCTCAAAAGTAGAGATATGACATTTAGAAAACACTTTGTGTAAGGTTAATATCCTCAATCCAAAACCTACCATGTACACTATTATACTACCTTACTTAGTATAGTAGTGTAAGTGTTCAGTCATAAGATTCATCAAGCAAAATGGCTTATTTCAGGAGAACCCTGGGTCATCAACGTTTTGCTGATGGTAAATGTGTCGCAAATTGTAGTACTGATTCAAATAGTCAACTTAATCCTTAGCATCACAGAATTTATTTGCAGACTCATTTATATTCTGTGTGGATGATCTAAATCTTGGCGGACTAAAGCTTTAAAATAAAGCGTGATGGAAGAGAAGAATTAAGGATTTTAAATCAACTTAAGGAACAAAACGGTTTTGCTCTCACAAAAGTTTTCAGGATAGAGCTGAACGTTTTCCTCCGAGCTCTGTCACACATCAGAGAGAGCAGACAGGAATGTGTGTTCTCTCTCTCTCTCTCTCTCTCTCGCTCACTGTTTGATATCCTAACAACTCGTGTACGTGCATTTTTTCAGGGGATATAATGATGTGTTCGTAAAGTGTGCTGTGCTTCCATATAGGGGGATAGATTATTAATGGAGCGTCTATCTGACTATCTAAAAGTCATTATATTCTCATCTTTGTTGTAATAACCTAATGCAAGGAAACACCTGAGACTTTGGCTTAAATTCATGGGATGGAAAATAGAACTCAAACATAATGCTATCGTTAAGATCCAGGGACGCTCTCCATAAAGATTATCAATAAAAATCTCAACAGGGTTCATGAAAGTGTCCTGTTTTTATGTCAGTTCATGACCCTCCTGCTGCTTCATTGTTTAGGTCTTCTGAATTGAACTATCAGACAGGTCCACATTATGCCTTCAATGGCACCTCCTTCATAAAATGCACTCACCTAACAATAACACACACAGTAACACACATTTCCTCAATGATTTGATTTCCTCTATCACAGCTATTTCTGTTTGTTCGGATTTCCTCGGTCATTGTCTGCTTGTCACCTGGATTAATTGTGGTCTTCTTTCTTATTTGATTCAATCTGACTTGTTTTATTTTCTGACCTTCACAAACTCTCTGCTCTCTATGGTTCATGATTTCATTTGAATTGTATTCTCGAATCACTCTTGAACTATGTTTCATCAGTTTACAAACTGAAGGTTTGACATCAAACCTCCTGAAACAGATGGAGCAGTGAGCTTTCTTTCAAATTGATTTGTATCAGTTTTCAAATAACTCATTAAGTGAATAATAACCAGTTCATGTCATCCAAGTGTTTCCACTATCCAGATTTCTGATTCTGCACACTTTGGGTGGCTTTGGCTTCAGCTCTGAATGTTGTTCCTGTGTGAGGAGAGGCAGCAGTTATGATATCTGTATCAATGCTTTATATCTATCTCCAAGAAAACCTCATTGTTGTGTATCACTGTTAGAAATTATTTACATATACAAACTCCTCTGCTTTTGATATTTAGACCACAAACTTCTCCCACAACCACAAACCACAAAGTCTTCATTCTGCTGAAAAGAAATAGCCAGACAACATTTTTCCCCAAAACAAATATAGCTAGAAGAACTCAAATTGACTGTTTGTGTCCTGACATTCACACACACACGCACGCACACACGCACGCACACACACACACACACACACATACACACTCCCTTTGGTGGAGACAATGTGCCGCTGTGTGATATAAGAGCTGTCTCCTCACATCGAGTGTACCTGTGCTGCAGAGGTGTGAACAGTGTCACTTTCTCTCTGCTGCTGTTTAGAGTTGCACTCACATGTTACTGTGCAGAAATCTCCGTTCACCTTCATAAAGTAAGAATATTCACCTTTCATATCAGATACATGATACACACCAAGACATTTCTACAGCTTTCTACATTATGGGGATCTTTAGAGTGTGCATTACAGAGAAACTGGGTGCTCTATCTCTAAAACATGAATGAGTAATTGATGGTCGTCTTATTTGTACAATTAAAGCGCATCTTCAAGCATTTTGTTTTACAATAATGTGCACTATTGAAATAAAAAAAAACCTTTTCACTTTCACAGGAGGCACACGATATTAAACTTATCGGACCTTTCCAACTTCTGATTTTCCTGATTTCAGAAAAACTTTCTTTTGTGGTGTGACGGCACGTTTCTGTTAACTTCACACTCAACAACTACTTACACTAACTTTTTATTGATTTCCTTTAAGCTGTACCATTACATCAAACAGATATATCTTAAATACTATTTTCTTTTTGCCACATCAATCTTTATGTCTGCTGTCGTCAGAGTCCATTAATGTATAAAGGGGGGAAAGACCCAGCGGTTGATATAAATTATTTGTGCTGAATTAAAAAGAACTATGAACATTAGAGATGAACTCTAAGAAAAGCTTTCCAGATTTGTGTATTTTTTAAATTCTTTTTCTTAGCAACCATGCAGTCAGTCATCAGATTTCTATGTCACAATATCATTATCTCACTTAACAGAGGTTTTCATGCAGGAGTTAAGTTTCTGCTTTTCAGTCTTTAGTTCATTGTTTTCAGTTTCTTCAAGACATAAAGGTCACACATAACACCTTAACACATCAAATTGTGCATTTTGATTTTTTTTCCTTTCAAGAAAATAAAACTGAGTAATTGAAAACATTAATATAAGTAACTTTATTTAGAAGATTACACAGAAAATTACAGGAAATCATTTATGAACCACAACAGATACACAGGCTCATTCAAACCAAACATGCTTTTAGGACTGTTCTTATTCTCCACAAATTCTCACTTGTCAAAAGAACACAAACTCTTAACTGTACTGTTCATGCTTTTAAAAATGCTTCGTTAGCTCCAGTGTAAAGAGAAAACAGACACATTACAAAGGGAGACTGAAGTGTTTGATTCAAGCTCAGCACTTTGTTGTGTTTTCTTAATGAAATGCAGACATCATTATCTCATTAGCCGTATTCTCTGCGGTTTAATCTGCACATGAAGGCACTGTTGACATGTTGGCTTTCATTACAGGATCCTTTGCAGCTCCATGCAGTCAGATAACTGCAGAAGCACCACCGTCCCCATTCCACACATTCCAGGATTTCCCAGCAAGCATTGCAAGCAAGCCTAAACAAGTCACGTTCTTTACTCAGGGAGAATTTCACACAGTGGAGTGACCGAGGGCATCTTTTGCCTTCTTTTTTTGGTGCACTCACAAAAATTCACTTCACACTAAAAAATTGATTTTCTGAGACCTTAAAAAGGGATTTCTTTTTTTACACTTACCAATATCATTCTTTTACCTGAAACTTTTCACTGAATCAGGGTAATCAGTGACCAAAAACAAGTTTCCTCTCTGTTTTTAATAATTACTCGTTTCCTGTGCTGTGGATTGTAGCAGCAACTGGACTGTGGTTAAACATTTCCACCCGCTGACAGCCATCAAAACAAACAAACCGCTTTACTCTGTTACTTCATGCTTACAACATAAGGCACGCACACGGGAGCAGTGACACCTAATCTCTACAAGGAAAAGAAAAGAAAGAAAAGAAGAAAAGAGGAGAAGAGAAAATGCAAAGAGAGAGGGGGGAGAAAGAGAGGGCCTTTGCTCCCTACATTCCTCCCAAACGTCCCCTCCCCCCATAGACCTGCTGCTGCTGCCACCGAGGATGCTCAAAAACACACATCAACCTCCCCCCTTCCTCCCCTTTTTTTCTTCATCTGCTTATTTTACCATCAGCACAATTACACTGTGTTTGGTGTGATGACAAAACAGGTAAAGGGGAAAAAAAGGGGACCAAACTCCAAAGGAAAAACTGTCAATTTGAGAGAAATCTGGTTTTCAAAAACTTGAAATTCCAGTTAAGATACGCTGATAGATTGAAGTTTTTTCAATGCATTTTGAGGACTTATTCGGCCTAATTGAACATTTCCTACACCTTTTAATTTGCATTTGATTTGACAATTCCCTTTAATTAAATGATTCACATTTTTATGAGGCTTAATTGCTTTTTCAAAACTTCCAGACAGTTGGAAATATTTAAGATATTTGTTGTTGTTTTTTTTGCATTTGTGAATATATTTGTTTTCGTTTAAACTTATATTTTCCCTGTTTTTTTTACAGTTCTCTTTAAATAATGAGCAACATTTTTAAGGAGCTTTTCAATAAACAACTTCCAACCAATGCGCAGAAAGAGTACAGAATACAAAAAGAGAAAAATATTTTAGATTTTGGAAAATGCTTTCTAAAGTTTATTTTCTTTCTGTTTGAAGGTCTATTTTGAAACATACTTA